AGAAGTCTTTTTCCCCTGTAGGTATGCTTGTAAAGAAAGATTCATAAAACTTACATAATGAACATAAAAATGGGGGTGGATGCTTCAAGTATATGGCAATTTTCTTTGAAAATTATGAGAAACTGCAAGCAGTCTTCAGATACAAGAAACTAAGAAGTTTAAAGCTGACTCCCATTGCAGTTTTCAGTTATAGAAGTAATAGTTTCATTGTGGTTAGTATAAACTGAATACCCTAAATACCTATTTCAATGACTCTAGTGTTTATTTTAATTTCTTACTGTAGTGCAATCTTTACAACTAAATTATAAAGTGTGGCAAAATTTTAATAGCCTTATTTACTGTTCACCCAGAATTGCTTTCTTTCTGTTTTTACATAACATCAAAAACTAAAAATATGGTAAAGTTAACTACATATAGAATAGACAAGAAAAATATTAAATCAAACTAGTTTAAAGTATTTCACATAATGAATTAGAATTTAAAGAATACCTATTTTTGTATTACAGTTCTGTGATCTTAAATGCACCTATTAAAAATCAGATGTGGGGCATCTCTCCTTTTATGGAACAAAAGAATTCTGATATTAACATAGCAAAGCTAATTATAATCAAAATTAATTTAGAATGCCTTGATTTCCAATTTTATGCCCAGTGCCATTCTGAGTACCAGAAGAGATGATAAAGTTTAAGGTAGAAAAGGGAAAACCATCAGTATTGAATATGTACTTTGCTAGGTTTTTTTTTTTTTTTCTTCATTAAATATATCATAACTATTCTCTTAGGCTATATAATTTTCCCTGCTCTTAAAATGAGGCTTAACGGAGCTGGGGATTTAGCTCAGCGGCATAAGTGCCCACCTTGCAAGCAGGCAGTTATGAATTCGATCCCTAGTACTGATAAAGAGGAAAAAGACAAAAAAAAAAAAAAAAATGAGGCTAAACTCGGAAGAGATTGTAAAAGTTACAAAGTGTTTTCAAAGCCCATATGTTGAGAAGAACATGGTGGATAGATAACAGCAGCTTTTTTGTAACCCACTTAGATTTCCTATTAACTTGATTTGAAACCCTGTATAGCCCTCACCATCTTCCTTTGACTGATTTTCCTCTATTCTGCTGTTTGATAGTACCAAGTTCGAAAGTATAGGCAACAACTGTAAAGACAATAAGATTCATTTTGACGCCCATCCTGGTTGACTATTATCTTCTTTTAAAGTCCTGTAATGTCTCAATGTTTTTCTTTTATTCTTTACTATTCTGTTCAATTTTATTATAACTGATGATATAGGCAGTTCGTTTTAAGATAGCAAGAGGCAGTATGGTAACCATTGTTGATCACCTAGTGTTTTGTTTTTACATTATCTATTATGTCCATCCTTTTGATATGACTGACTCTGTTCTATTATGTCACATTTGTTTTTCCTCTCTTCAAAAAAAAGTAATAAGAATGGTGGGAGTAATAAAACCCAAAAGGCGTAATTGTCATTGTGCAAAAGAAAGGGAAAGAAAGTGCTCTAAAGAATATAACTGCATATATATTTAAGTGTATAAGATAGATAACCATGTTACTGAGTTTTGTTGGATCATTGAACAAAACTGTTTCCAGTCTGTTTGAAAGTCCACTGTATATGCTTTAATTTTGTAACTTGAACAACTATTTCTAAGATAACAATATGTAATGTATTAGTGATTTCCTGTTGTTTATTTTTTATGAAATTCTGTATAACTTGTACCCTTTTTTGTTTTTCTTTCTTTTTCTCCTTAAATTAAAAAAAAAAAAAAAGCTAAAAAAACCCCATGTGTTTTTTTAGGTATTAGGATAGTCTTCCCTCAAAAGTTGATGTTCTGATGATGAGGGTGAGGAATGGGTTGTGTTACCTCTTTTGATTGAACCTTGCATTATACAAGGAATAAAGTTAACTAGCAGTCATTACCCACAGCTGTAGTTTGGTCATGGGGTGTTTCCCAAAAGCCCATGTGGTAAAGCCTTGGTCACCAGCCTGTGGCACAGCTGAGAGATGATGAGCCTTTAGCAGGTGGGGCTGGTGGAAAGCAAGTTTAGGTACTGAGGAAGTTGCTATTGAAGGGGATATTGGGATGCTAGTACCCTCTCTCTCCTCTGCTTCCTGGCCCTTATGAGGTGAGCATGCTTTCTGTGCTGTGCCCCCCTCCCAGTTATGCTACCACACACAGGCCCAAAGCAATATGCCCAGACATCTTTGGACTGACATCCTTGAAACTGTGAACCAAAAGAAAGCTTTCCTTCTTTCAAGTTGACTATCACAGGTATTTTGGCACAGCAGTGAAAACCAGATTAATACATGTGCAAACTCTATACTGTCTTAGAAAGTGTTTCTGGTTTTATTCTGGTTATACATATTTTTATTAAATGTTACTATAAACTGTTAGAAATGAATGTAAACTACTTTCAGAATTCATAGCTTTTTGTGTATTTTCTAAATTGAAATTTAAGACCTCTTTTGTTTGTATCTATTGTACAGTGTCCTGTCAGGACAGTTTTTAATTACTAGTAGTAACAGTTTATATTAAAGGAATTATTGAATTTTGCCAAGACAGTAATTTACCAAAGTATAAATGATAAATGGAAATGGTTCAAGTCTATTTTCAACATGCTAAATAAGTTGAAAATATTATTTCTGCTGAATAAAACATGACACACCAAAACAATGTCACATTTTTATCACTAGAATAACAGAATACATTCTAAAATTAAACATCTCATGAAAATTGAGAAGATTGTATAGTGATAAACTCAGTTAAATCTTAGACATTTAAAATGTAAAATTTTAACATGTTATATAAATACGCAATAATGACTCTGGGTTTCTTTTGATAAACTTTCTACATTCAGATAGGTATTTTCTGATATAAATGGCCCCTTACAAATACGTAAATATGTCCTAGTGATTATCACCATTTCTCGAATTATTTCTAAGTCACCTTTTGTGATTTCATTCACATCTGCTTTTGTAAGCCTTAGAAGAAAAAAATGCAGTAGAGCAGAAGAGAACAAGTTGAAATACTTCACAGTTTGTGTTATTGACGAGCCAATCTTATTTCATCTACCCTGATGCATCGCCTTATTCATCATAGTTGATTCTAAGGAACTTTTGGCAAAATTTAGATGTAAGAAGATATTAATTTCATTTGTTCAGTAAGTGTTTATTAAGCCCTCACTAAGTTCCAGACCACACTGGCACTGGAGTTACTGTTGTGAATACAGCAACCATGCCTGGTAACATTAATTAATTTATTTGACTTCTAAATGCATTTGTTTTGCTTTTAAAAAAAAAAAAGAGAAAAAAGGATTTCTATTAACTTTTTAGTAAGATTAAAAGTGTTAAAATAAAACTAGCAGAAACCATGTAAAATTGTAATACGTTATAGCTAAGTATTTTCTTGGACTATAAATAAGGGAAGTGTAATAGCTAATTGAGTGATTGGTGTTCATAAGGTCAACACATGAAACATCAGCAGGATTTAATACCCTTAAATAGATTTTATGGGCCATGTTTCTCCTCTAAAGGTCACTGGAAGAACTTAATACCTTTTTATTAAAAATAAAGTAGGAATGGTAGAATGTCCTTTTCACATCTTATTTGAGTAAGTTGAATAGACAAATTTTATATTTAATATATGTTTTATCCAATTTTATATTTAAGATAGATCTATTATCTATGGAGAATTGTAGACTTACAAATTTGAGGGTTCAAATGAGCTCTAATAATAGGCAAGAGTCATTAAGGAAGTGAAAATATGCATATAATTTTGTAGCAGTATTCTGTTTAAGGCAGGAAAAAAAAAAGGCAAGAATTAACGTTCTTAGCTTCTCAATAAAGCACTGTTTGTGAGCCTTTATGGTATAATGAAAAGAGCACCCATACAGTTCCTCTTCAGAGAGCCCTGTATTTAAATTTAGACTGCTGTTTAATTGGCTATGCTTTAATTTAAAACTTATCTCACAGTTTTGTCAGGACTTCGAAGTGAGACAATGTGTATAATCCATCCTTACAGTCTAGAATGGTTAGGCATTCTAATTTATTTTTCCTACTTTTAAAAATTATTTAAGTACTAAATAAATGCCTTCTTATATAGTATTTTGACAGTCAAAAATACATACACGTCACACTGCCCTTACTAGTGATAATCATTTATAACAATTTGGTGTATATTTTTCTAGGCTTTTGAAAGTACTTTTTCATTTGCATACGCTTATGCATTTGCAGATGTTACCTATACAGTTGTCATTGTTTAATTTAGCAATATATAGAGCTTTCCTATACATGTCTTATTCTTAAGAATACATTTTTCAACTTTTTCCTGATTTTGCAAATTAACTCATTCTTTTTAATCTTTTCGAGGTACTCCATTAAATAGAAGTGTTACAATTTACTTATACAGTCTCCCACTGAGGACATTCCTTCTTTAGTGTTTTAAATTTCTGAGCATGATGGATCTAAACACAAAAGAAAATCAGTGTGAATTTTGTTTCTGTTTTTCTCACAGCAATACTGGTAATCCTAAACATGCTTAAAGTACTGAGTCACATATAGGGTATTCAAATCATTTACTATAAATGTTAACATTTATCTATCATAAAATTATGAGTATTCTCGCTTAGAATCTCGCATAGAAATCTTTTTTGTTTTTTAATTGTATTTAAACAGAAAAAATTTCAAAAGGAGATGAGTAACAATGGTTAATACATTGTGTATTACTATAACTAGTAGTATAACTACCTTGTATTTCAATTCTTTTATCCTTTTCTTTTCCCATTTACCCCATCATAGTTCCTAGTTTTATTTTTAAAGGTGTAAAATATTGAACAGAATAATTCATTTATCTTTAGTCATAAACAGAATATCCCAAGTTAGGGGATTCAAATAGACCCTTTTTTCTTGAAATAAAAATCTTAATTTTTGAAAGCTATTAAACCCTCTAGAACTAACTAAAATAGCATTTAACCTATTATATTTTCTCACAGATACAACAATTTTAGATGATTTCAAGCCTACAGGCATATGTGATATTTACAAGTAGCTTGAACAACAGTCAGCTTTATGTGAAGGTGCATTAATGTCTCCAAAAAGCTCGTGGCCTGAGGTAACATACATTGATTAAGTTGTTTATATTGAAATAGTACTGGATATTGTCACTTGAAGTTAACAGCTAAACAGTATATTTTCTTTAGATCTTGAGGTTTAGCAGAAAAGTACAAAAATTTTGTGAATATAAAATCATAACCCAAGCAAGGAATTAATCTGTATCATTTATGTATGGTTTATTAATAATTTTCTAAATCTGTGAATTGAGTAAGTTAAGATTTTCTAGTTTTAATGATTTAGATTCTTTTCAGCTAATGGTAAGCAGCTAATTTAACAGATATGGCACATACTAAGAACTATGATGTTTCAGAGGCAGGGGCAAGTCTCTGAAAACCTGAGGAATTAAATTTTTGAAGACTGAAACAACACAGGGGCGAAGAAGCTACAAAAGTCCCTAGACAGTGAAGAACTAAGCCCATCACCCGAGGAATGGATAAAAAATATATGGTCTCCTGATATGATAGAGTACTACTCAGTACTAAGGGGAATAAACTGGAGACTTTCATAGGTAAATGGTTGCAACTTGAAATGTTACTCATACGTAAAATAAATCAGACTCACATGTGTAAACATCATATTGTCTCCTAGTGCGAGAGACTGAAAGAATAAATAAGATCCAAAACATGCAATAGATACTATGAACTGGAAAGAAACTGTTCAAAAGGAAACTGTTCCAACTGGGACAGGAAAAAGGAAAAAAGAATGAATGGAAAGAAAAAAAAATCTATCTATCTACAGATCTATCTATAGATATATATAAGATAGATGTATAAAGATATATATACACACATGTACACACACATAAGATAGTTAAGATGGTTATACTAATTGTATTTATTGAAAAAAGGTTTCTGCTAGTATCTTTTGGAGAATTTTTTAAGCCTAAATCTCATATTTTGATTAACTACTTTAAATATAACAATGCTCAATGTATTAACTATTGTTATTTTCCTATTGTTTTGTTATGAAATTTTGTTTTACTTTTTTCTATAAAAACATTAGCAACAGCAATTAGGCAAGAGAAGGAAATACAAGAGATACGTGTAGGACAGGAAGACAGCAAGTTATCATTATATACAGATGACATGATGCTTCCTCTACATAGGTGACAACCCCCCCCAAAATTCACTGAAAGATTCCTAGAATTAATAACCAAAATCAGTAAGGTAGCAGGATACAAAATTAACAAAATTAATAGTGTTCCTGTATACTAATAATGAACTTACTGATTTAAAAAATGTAAAGAAAAAAATACTGTTCACAATGCACCAAGAAAAAAAATTTTTTTTTTTGTCTTTTTCCTTTTTATCAGTACCGGGGATCGAACTCACAACTGCCTGCTTGCAAGGCAGGCGCTTATGCCGCTGAACTAAACCCCCAGCCCCAAGAAAAATATTTTTAACCTAAGAAAGTGAAAGAACTTACAGCAAAAACTGTTGTATTCTGAAAAAATTGAAGGAGACATCAGAAAAAGATACCCCTGTTCCTGGATAGGTAGAACAAATGTAGTCAAAATAACCATATGTCTAAAATTAATATATAGATTGAATGTAATCCCAATCAAAATTCCAACAGCATTCTTCACAGAACTGGAGCAAGTTATGGAATTTACATCGAACGAAAAGAGACCTAGAGTCCTGATAGTAATCCAGAGTATAAAGAACAAAGCTGGAGGCATTAACATCCCAGACTTGAAGTTACATTACAGTGCTACTGGTGCTGGCACACAGACACGAAGATTAAAGGAACAGAAGCACATTCAACTATTTGATTTTTGACAAAGGGACCAAAAATACCCAGACATAAAGGTTACTTCTTTAATACATGCAGTTGGGAAAACTGGCTATCCAAAATCTAGACACATATCTCTTACTATGCACTAAACTAAAATCAAAATGGGTTAGCAAACAAAATGTTACAAAAAAGAAACATCTAACTATTTAGGAAGACAAAATAGAGAAAACTCTTGAAGTCAGGCATAAGCAAGGACTTTATGAATAGAACTCTGTTGCACAAAAAATGATACCAAGAATCAATACATGAGATTGTATCAGAAAGCTGCATAGCAAAAGAAACAACAGATTGAGGGAAACTAAAGAACAAGAAAAGATTTTTGCCAGCTGTTCCTCAGAGCACTAATATATAGAATAGAGAGAAAATTAAAAAGTTAGATTCCCCCCCAATAAAAGACTCAGTTAAAAATTGTGCAAGTGAAATAAATAGACATTTCACATCTTAGAAAGAATGGCCATCATAAAGAAATCAAATAATAAATGCTGGAGAGGCTGCATGTCAAAATGAATCCTTCTATATTTTTGGTGGGAATGAAAACTAGTACAGCTTCTATGGAAATCAACGTGGAGATTCTCCAAAATCTAAAACTATAAATTTCATTTGACCTAGCTATTCCCCTTCAATGTATCTTCAGGAAAGAGGCAAATACACTGTATTACAGTGATGCTTGTATACCTACATTTATAGCAGTATAAATCATAGGTCTTGGAAATGGCCCATCTGTATATCACCAGGTAAATGGATGAAGAAAATGTATTTGCACACAATGGAGTACTACTGTGCTACAAAGAAAAACAAAGAAACAAGCCCTCCTTGCAAACTAGTGCCAGGTGTGGGCTGCCACCCGTGTGGGTACAGTCAGACCCCAGGCCCTTTTGTCTCACGGGCTGGAAAATAAGAGCCAACTCCCCTCACCCCAACCCAGGAAACTGGCTGATCCAGAGAAACACAGGCTGCAATGATAGCTATTCAGGTGAAATGCAATTTGATGCTTGTGGTGTTTGGTGTTTCACTGGTTTTGCAGGTCGAGGGCCAGTGGTCTGATCATCTATTTGGAGGAAAATGATATGCAGTGTGGCATGTATGGGGGATCTCCTTCTGAAGATGGTAGCCATTGTTAATTCCGTATTATCTTGTTTTTAAGTCCTGTGTTGTTTTCATTGGTTTGATAGGTTGAGTTTTATTCTGTTTTGGTTCGTTTGATTTTGTTATATCCTATGGCATGGCTAGGTATTTCAAAGATAGCAAGTTAGGGCTGGAGATCTAGCTCAGTGGCAATACGTACCTGCCTGGCAAGAGCGAGGTCATGAATTCAATCCCCAGTACCAGAAAAACAACAAGAAAAACAAAGCAGAATATATTATGGTAGCCATTTTGAATTCACTATTGTCTTGTTTTGAAGTCCTTTATTGCATTTACTGTTTTGTTTTTGTTGGTTCTACTCTGTTCTGTTTTATTTGATTTTTACTATGTCTGAAGGCATCTGCAGCTATTTTGAAGACAAGACATTATGATAACCATTACTGATTTCCTATTGTTTTGAAGTCCTCTGTCACTTACATTGGTTTGTTTTGATTGGCCTTTTCTGTTTTATTTTGCTTGGTTTTGGTCTCTTTAAAATAACAAAAATAAACTTGGAGCACTTGTAGAAAATTGGCTGCACCTTGAGACTATAATGTTAAGTGAAATAAATGAGATACAAAGCCTTAAATAACATTTTCTCACATAAGGTATTATAAATAAGTAGCGAAATAAAGACAGCAGGAAATAGGGAGATAGATCTCAGTTGAAAAGAGGATCAAGAGATAGTGGGAGAGAGAGATAGGGAAGTGATGAGAGATGAAAACCATGAATTGGAATATGTGGTGTACATGTACCTACTCCTCTGCTCACAGAATAGTTGAATAAGTTGTACTATGTCATTGTACACTATGGCATACGAAGAAATTCTTGGTGAGAGTGGAGTGATTTCCTGTGTCATTAAATGAGAGTAGTGAAATCACGGATCACTACAAATCATGATACCATTTTTTATAAAACCTCTGTAGATTCTCACTTTATGAGTATATAGATAGATGTGGAAAAAAGTATCGTTATCTGAGAGAGAGAATGAAAGAGGACCATTGCTGAGGTATAGGACAGAAGGATTTTTCTCCATGATAAAAAAAAGCATATATATTGTGATTTCATGTTTACTAAACTTTTTTTGCTTTTTAGTTATAGCTGATAAAATTCCTGAAAGGAATGCACCCAGATGTTAATGGTGACTATTTAGGGTGATAAAATTCTTTTTTTTTTTTTTTTCAATCTGAAAGGAAATTAGTTGAGGACAAAATTCAGAATCATATAGGAATAAGGATTTCACTATCTCTTAAAAGTACACACTTGGTTCAGTTGTTAAATAAAATTTACCATTAATCACATGGCTTTTATCTAAATCTTTTCCCAAAGTTAAAAAAAAAAAAACAGTATGTAGTATCGTAAAACAGATGCATTTTCCTAAGTTTTACAACTGTGATTATTAAGTATGTGTGCATCTAGGTAAATGTTTTTATAATTTTGTGCATCCTTAGATTTCAGTTGTCTCATCTTTATATGCTAATTAATTACTTGAGATTGATAAAATTTGCAGAATTTGCAAGGCAGATGTTGCCTGTGTTTTTTTTCTCCAAGAGACTGAATTTTGGCCTAGTCTTTGTTTTAAGAAACCCCACCACTTCCTACCTTTTATTTATTTTTATTGAAAACTTCTTTTGGTTTTCACCTTTAAGCTGTAAACCTTGTTAGCCTTCTAGATATATTGTCCAGTCTTATCCATACACTGTAATATTAAGTGAATAAATAATATTTATCTTATGCAATATTTTGATGTACAGGTAGAGATAGATGTATATATGATAAAGCTACTTAAAGGATCTTCATACTGTTTCTTGATGCATAACATGTTTGTATATATTAGAACTTTTAAACATATAATGGAAAAAAGCATTCCATAATAATAAAGCATTATTTTAATATTAGTTGCTGAACAGTTTTCCACCTAGAATTTCCTCTTAGGAAATCTTTTTTTTATTCTTTTAATGGTTACTATTTCAATTACTAATGCTTTTGGAAAATTTTTCCCTCTCATTACTGAGGGTGGAAGCCAGGGTCTCAGGCATGCTTAGCGAGGGCTTTGCCACTAATCTACATTCCCAGATCTTTTTATTTTTAATTTGAGACAGTATCTCACTAAATTACTCAGGCTTTACTTGAAGTTGCAGTCCGCAGGCCTCAACCTTCAAGTAGCTAGGATTGCGTGTATGTACTACCACATCCACTTGTTATTTATCATTTCTTAAGTGCTGTGCCATAGCGGTCAGTAGCCTTCTTGACACTTCACAATTTAAAATTCAGAAAGTTCGTTCTTTTGTTAAGTTTATACTTAGTATTCTTTTGGGCTCATGTAAGTTTCTTAAAAAATTGCTTTTGTTTTAATGTTAGTAAATAGCACTTTTATATTTCAGAAGAAAGCTGTAATATTTCTCTTCAAGTAGCAATTTCTGCTTTTTTTCTTGTCTTTTTGTCACTGTATCCTTTTGAACAGTAATGTGTTCTAAAATGAAGTTGTGAATTATATTTTTCTTGTCCCAAAGGAAATTAACACATAAAACCTGTTATTTTTGCTATATTCATTTTACAAACTTGATAACTAATAAGTTGATTTTATTTTACCTTATAAATATATAGACATAATTCAAATGGTAAACACATAGAAATGAAGAATTTGTATTTAAAAATTCATTCTAATTTTTACCTTGATCATTTTAATATTTTCTGCTATACATTTTACATTTTTTATTCTGGAATTCATGCTTTCTTCTTTCTTTATCTCAGTATTGATGCTTTTCAGATGTCTGATTCTTTTTTAAAAGTGATTACTTTTATCTGTGTGATATTGCTCACCATAAATTGTATGAAATATTGTGCTTATTTTTGCGTAGTTGTTGAAGAAGCATAAGCAACAATGATCCCTAAAATCTTAAAATGTACTTAAGTTATTCTTAACTCACCGGAGCCTCTCTTTGAAGATTACAAAGATAAAGAAAACCTTGATTCTTAGTAAATTAGATGGTTTTATTTTTATATTTCTTTGCTAGCTTTGAACATTCCCCCTATTGCATGTATTCATTCTGCAGTAGTAGAGATTAACCTCAGTGCCCCATGTGTACTCTGCAGGTTTGCTACCCTTGAGCTATGTCTCTAGATTTTTAATTATTACTATGTAGGTATTTTCTTAAGAAGTCTGATTTTACGTATTTTTGCCTGTAAAAAAAAAATCAAAACTCCAATGGTGAGGTTTTTTTAGAGCAAAATGAGATGACAAAATAATTGTAGTTCATTTTGTCCCTCAGCAAGTTACTCCCTATAATCTTTACACACACACACACACACACAATTTATGACTTGTGACTATTTGTATCTGATATTACTGTCTTTCTTAATGAGTGATCTTCACTGCAAGTGTGCAGTCTTCCAGAGCTTATTCCCTTCCTTTTAGTGATTCTATTATTCCTTCTCAACTCTGGGCTGCCTATATACTTATATCTCCCCAGAGATAATTGAATGCAGGAAGGTAGAGGGCGTAGTTGGGACGTCGATGTATACATAGGAGGTAGGACCTTAATGATCTCCTGTCTGGATTGATAAATCTCTCCATTGTTTACTGTGGAGCCATTCCAGTTGTACCACAAGCAAGACTGTTTTTGTTCGTTTAGTTTATTTTTTATTTTTATTTTTTAAGAAATGTTTTCTCTCAGAGGGTATCATTTCCTATTTTTCCCCTAAGTAGATAGTCTATTAGCCACCTCTTAGTCTAATAGTAGATAATGGGATTATTGCCTTTTATAGGTTATTTTCTTCTATTGTCTGCCTAAAATTAAGGGGACTTCCAATAACCTGGCTTTAAATTATCATACTAGACATAACTATTTTATGAATATAAATGCTTTAATTTTTTTTCAAAATCAACTCTTGAGTGCATGTCAGCATCATGTTTCCCTCTCCTCAAGGCAAATTATAGGTTTATTTTGTGCTGTGTTGTCAGACTATCTGGTATGCATTACCTGAATCCAAAGGTAGATTAGTTTTGACCTTGTGATGTTGATGATTTCTGAGTGCTTTTAAAAAGAATGAGAGATGGGCTAGGGATTTAGTTCAGCGGCATAAGCACCTGCCTTGCAAGCAGGTGGTCGTGAGTTCGATCCCTGGTACCGATAAAAAGAAAAAAAAAAGAATGAGAGACCATACTTAGTTTAATAGTTGAAGGTTCAGATGACTTTCAGTCAGCAGTTAGAATGTGCACTAGTTGAGCAAACAATTTGCTCTCCCTATTTTGTGGGGAATTACGATTGCTGTGGTATTCTCTAGCTTTTGAGGAGCATGCTCTGCTAATCCCTAGAAGTTTTTGTGCCTAAGATATAGAAATGGTCTGTGCTTATGTTCCAAATAACAATGGAAAAGAATTACCTACCTAGGAGAAAATAGAGACTTAAGAATTTCAGTATAAAATGTAGTACAGTATTGTAAAGTGCATGACTTTAAAACATGAGCTTTACTTTTTCTTGAGGATTTTGGGGCATGACCATTAGACTGAAAATTGCTGGGAGAAGCATCAGCATAATGGCTTAAGGTTTGGATTTAAAGGCACATAGTTAGATATATCTCTCAATAGTGGGAAATTACTGAAATAGAGACTATCACTTGCGTATTAGGTATATTTGAGTTGTTAGGACTAATGTACACATCAGATAATTAGATCAAGTGCTGGGTATCTGGGTATGAATGGTGAAAGTGAACACTCATCTATACCTGTTGTTAAAGGTCGTTTCACTTTTCTCCTTCCCTTAACAAAAGTTTAACCAATAGTGAAATATGATAGTAAAAATGAAAATTATTTTGTTACGTAGTTCTTTTCTTTGGAACTTTTCTTTGTTCATCTGAATAAAATTAACTGAGTTCTATGGATTTTTGTTTTTAGGGTCAGTTTATGAACCTCTTAAAAGCATTCATCTTCCAAAACCTGATAATGAAACTCTGTGGGATAAATTGGATCATTATTACAGAATTGGTAAGCAAAACTTAAGGAAGAGTTATCTATGATTAGTATTCACTGTGCCTTAGCTATAATGTGTACATTATGTTGATGATATTCTATTGCTTGGATTTGGGGATAGTTTTAGTGCTTATTTATCTGTAACAGGACTACGGAAGGAATCCAGTCATATCTGGCCCTTGAATGACTACAGCTATCACCAATACCTTGCTAGATTTGAAAACTTGAGATTTTTTGAATTATGTGCAAATATTTCATGTAACAAGTTCCTCACCTACCTATACATAATTCTTAGTGAATCCTTACCCTTTTGTACCAATTTCTACTTCACTGAGATACAAAAGATAATCTGAAGTTAGTACGTTTAATATCAGGCCCTTAATTTTTGTTTGTTTTTCTGGATTAACCGGGCAAGTTTTGTTTTTCAATGTGAATAAATAACTTTGAGTTATGTATGTATAGGATGCCTCCTTATTCTTTAGACCATACTTTGGAATGCCTATAACTATTTTTCAGGTTGTTTCTTATGCCATTTATGTCCTCTGATGGCAAAAAACATTTTTTGCTCTTCTACAAAAATACAGGCTGACTGACTTATTTTGACCTCATTGTAAACTTTAAGTTTTTAAAAATTATTTTTTTATTTTAAAAACAAAAAATAAAACTGATAATACAGAATTTCAAAACAATAGATTAACGTTGGTTAATATCTTCAAAGTTGCATATCTTCAAAGTAGTTGAGATTACAGGATATAAACATGAGAGAAATGATCAAACAGTCAAATAATGAAAGCACAAACTATTCTTTTTGATGAACAGGAATTAATAGTATGGTTGTCTATCTCATATATATGAATGTATATTATATATATGAATATATATAAAAGATGTATAATCTTTTCTCCTTTCCCCATCCCAGTTGTTGTTTCCTTTTCTCTTTCCCTTTAACTTTTACAATGTCTGTTATACATTTTGGATCTTATTTACTCAGTTTTTAAACTCAGGAGATAATACGATATTTATACATTTAAGTCTGATTTATTTCACATATGATCATAGTCTCAAGTTGCATCCATTTACTCCATTATATCACATCTGTTTTTATTCATTCCTTAGTTAATGGGCATTTGCATTGTTTCTAAGATTTAACTATTACAAATTGTGCTGCTATAAACAAGAGTGCACGTTTATTTCTGTGGTATTACATTTTCCGTTTTTCTGTGAAAATACCCAGCAGGAGAATAGCTAGATTGAATGAGACTTCCAATCCTAGTTTTTTTGAGAAATTTCCACACTGATTTCCACAAGAGTTATACTAGTCTACACTCCCACCAGCAGTGGAGAAGGATTCCCTTTTCCCCACAGCATTTGTTGTTTGATTTCTTTTTTTTTTTTTTTTTTTTTTCTCTTTTTTATCGGTATCGGGGATCGAACTCATGACTGCCTGCTTGCAAGGCAGGCACTTATGCGCTGAGCTAAATCCCCAGCCCCTGTTGTTTGATTTCTTGATGACAGCCATTCTTTGTGGGATGAGATGGAATCTCAGTGTTATTTTAATTTGCATTTCCTGTATGACCATTGATGTTGAAAATTTCTTCATATATTTGTATATCTTTATCTGAGAACTGAATGTTCATCTCAGAATGCCCATTTGTGGTATTTTAACTGATTTTTGATCATGATGCTACATGCATTCTTAAGCCACTCTTTATCTTCTTTATAGCAATGACTGTCTAAAGAGAAATAATTACAGTTTTAAAGGAAATATTAATTATTTGCTTTGGACTTAAGAACCAAGTAAATTTTACTCTGGGAAAAATAATAAATGTACTGATAGTCTGGGTAAAAATGTTAATGATAAGATCAGTTTAGACTGAAAGAAATTTTAATCCCTTAGTCTCTTTGCAGGAGTATTTTATTTTAACTTTTGAAAAACTATCTAATATATATTAATTTAGATTAGATTTATTTAACATACTTTGGGACAAGCATTATTTATCCATTTATTTAGACAGTTGTGTTAGGTTTCTGTTGCTGACAGAAAATACCCATGAAAAACAGCTTAAAAGAAGAAAGCTTTATTCTGGCTACCAGTTTCAAAGTTCTAGTTCCTGGTCAATCGGCTCCACTGCTTTAGGCCTGTGGTGAGGCACAAACCTTTCCTGGCTGAAATGTGTGGCAGTGGAAAGATAACTCCCTTGGTGCTGGCCAGGAAACAGAAAGAGGTGAAGAAAACCATTCCAGGTATAACCCCAGGGGCCCACTTCCTTCAGTTAAGCCTGGCCTCTTAAGCCCATTCAGCTTAGTGCCCCAATTCCAAAAGCTCCACGATGGAACATGTGAGCCTTGGGGATAATGATGGCCCCAAACCAGAACAAGAGGAAAAAAATAGTTTTTAGAAAGTGTAGACAAAGATTATTTACTTCCTAGTATCTTCATTCTATATAGATATGGAATTCAGTTTTAAAAGTATAATAAGTAAAATCCCTAACCTGTACAATATCAGTAAAATGAACATACCTCTGTTAAGACCAGTCACAAATTAGTCTTCAGTAAAACCCATGATTCTTGCCTGTTTTACGGTGTATCCTCATCTTAAATTTTTGATTGAGTTATGTATATAATTTAGCAAATGCAGGTTGCAGGGCACTCTGTTAAAATTTGTTTAAAGTTTCTACATAGAACTGGTTATTTTTTTAAAATGCTCGTTTTTTTTAATTATTTTTAATTATTTTTAATTATTTTTCTCTGTGCCTGTCATATTCTTAGTAATATTTATATCACATGTTCCCATTAACCAGGATGCGCTCAAGGCTTTTAAGTTCTAATTAACTATGCCCTTTTCTAAAAAAAAGACCCACTTCATGATAGATGGATTCCCCTAAGCTCAAGCAACATAAAGTGGCCGAATGTCTTTAATTATTTTGTAGGATAGCTAAGTTTAGAAGTAACAAAATTGTTTAGAAATGGAATGAGGTTATCAAACACATTTAAGATATTCAATGGAAATGGCTGGTGATGCGATCCATTTCTTTTCTTATCTCCCTCTATAGTCAAGTCCACATTGCTGCTGTATCAAAGTCCAACCACTGGTCTGTTCCCAACTAAAACATGCGGTGTTGATCAGAAGGCCAGAATCCAGGACAGTCTCTACTGTGCTGCTGGAGCTTGGGCGTTGGCACTAGCATACAGGTGAGCTGACTCGGGATCGCCTAGTGACTCTAAGACCGGGTAACAGTCTTTTGTCAGTCTTTTGCTTCTACTGTGTTTTGATTACTGAGTGACTTGTGGCTTCTTATGTCACCTTTTCGGCCTCTAAACCCTTTCGTTTTATAAGGGTTACATAAGACTAGTTACGATGTTTTATGATTTTGTTACCAATATTTTTTATCTGTTGTTTTCTCAAACAATGTTAGTCTTTGGTAGAATGAATTACCTATTAATTCTCATTGAGTGATTGGTTTCAATCATAAAAAGAATTAAAGCTAATTGAATTTTGCAGATGATAAAGTTGCAGCTAATAAATTTATTCAACTGATCGTACTGGTGCACACCTATAATTGCAGCACTTGGAAGGCTGATGTAGGAGGATTGCTGTAAGTTCAAGGACAGCCTGGATTCCAAAGTGAGTTCAAGGCCAGTCTAAACCTGTCTCAGAAAATAAAATAAATTTGTTTAAATTGTACAACTAATCAGTGGTGGCTTCAGGACCCCCTTCTTTATCCTGGTTGAGTGTTTTTCCTACTGTAATTTATTGACTTATCAGTTGTTAAATTTAGTTGTAAGTCAGTTATTTTATGAAGTAAAAAATTTTCTTCTTTATTTTATTGGATATATAAAGCACCAATTGTGGAGCCTCATACCTGATGTTTGAAATACATTTTAGTTATAAATTAAGATTATTAAACTTCTGAATGTTATTTTTCTGAGGGACCTTAGTATTTCTGAGTTGAAAATTTTCTTTTAAATGAACATGGTTCCTCTGTCATAAATCATTGAAATACTAGATTAGTAAAATAAAATCAAGTATTGTGTGGTAATTGTCAACCTAATTATTTCTTTACATATTCTTTGTTGTAAGTACAATTTGACTTTATTAAGTGTGGGGCTGCTAGTGGTCTAATGGGCATAAGAAATATCACCACTAGCACCTTAACTAAGTATTCAATCCAAAAATAACACTTAATAGTATTAAGTGCCCTTTGATATGACACAATTATAAATACATATCAACAATGCTAATTTTTTACCAAAATGTTTAACATTAAGTCCACATGAATAAATAATCAGTCATAACTGGATTGTTGATTTTCATAAGACAGTTGCCAAAACTGTTAAAAAATTTAGGTGTATTAAGCAAGGTTTTCCAGAGGAACAGAACCAATAGAAGGTATGTGTGTGTGTGTGTGTGTGTGTGTTTGGCTTACATGATTTGAGGCTGGACAGTCCCACAGTGGCCACTGGCTAGCTGGGGTGCCAGGGAAACAAGTACTTGCCCAGTCCAAGAAGCTGAAAGCCTCAGAACAAGAGGGAGCAGTACAGCCCTAGTTCAAGGTTAAAGGTCTGTAAAGTCCCTGGAGGATTGTGTTGTGAGTTCACATTAAAAGTCTGAAGAAACTGGAGTTTGATATTCATGGGTAGCGGCAACACTGGGGGTGGGGTTGGGGTGGGGTGGTGGGGAGTTAAGAATCGAGCTCCTGCATCCTCGTGCTCTTTCCCTTCTGCTTTTTGTGTCATCTGGGCCCAATCCCATTTGATGGTAATGTTCACATTTAGGGTGGATCTTTCTCAGTTCATTCACCCATGTGCCCACGTTCTCTGCAAATCCCCTCGCAAACACACCAGGAAGTATGCTTTACCAGTTTCCCAGGCATTTCTCAGTCCAGTGGGGTTGACAACAAGTATTACCCAACAGAGAAAGTGTCATAGAGTTTAGGAAATATGTGCTTGCAGTTAATATGAGCATAAAGAAATACAAGATCAAATATAATTCATGATTCTTCTATTTTTTTGGTGCTGAGGATCAAACTCATGACTGCACACTCACAAGTCAAGGCACTTACACCGCTGAGCTAAATCCCCAGCTAATTTGTGATTCATTGTTAGATTACACTTTTAAAATCTACTCTAAAGTACATTTTGGGGATAATTTGATAAATTTGAATCTAGGTTATTTATCAGATATGTAATATCAACTTTGAATTTCTTGGTTGTAATAATAGTATTAGCATTATATAGGAGAATTGTTTTTACAGATGTTCCTGGTGTGTAGGGTGAAAGGCCATGACGTTTGTAGCTTATTTTAAAATATTGAAGGAAAAAATTATAAGTGATATAAATTAATATTAACTGCTGAGCCTAAAGTATGTATTCATTGTAGCATCCTTTTAATTTCTTTACACATTTGAAGATTTTTGAAATAAAACATGGGACATTTTTTATAGAGTAAGAGTACTAAGAGTACAGTCAGTCTATATACAAAAGTCACCCTTTAACCTTTTCTCAAAAGGTTTCAAGTATCTGATAGAGAACTGAAAGTCCTTAATTTGCTGGGCATGTTATCTATATAAAATTTGTCTCTGATAAATCACTTGTGTCCATACTGGAGAAAGGAAGGACATAGTACAGTTGTGTTAGTTTTTCTGTGGTGCCTTTATAAAAAGGAGAAATAATTGACCAAAAATGAATGACATAGAATATTTGTTTCTGACATTCATTATACTATATTACAGTGATCATCATTCTTCCCAGTCATTACATGTGAAATAGGAGTAGGAATTATTCATACATACTGCACTTTTTTAAAGGGGCATGTGATACTTTTTATCAAGTGAGAATGATTGCCAGATATTTTAGTCAAGATTAAATCAAACTATGAATAAGTAATTTTTAGTTTTTAGTAGTGGGTACTTCTCATTCATCTTTTGAAAGTCTCTGATTTATAATAAATAACATGTATAGAAAGAGCATTCTTTATTTTTAAAAGTGATATAAATATGGTCAATTGATTTTTAAAGCCATACCTGAGAAGATGAAACTGTGCCCAAATATATCACATGTCATAATGGATATGTATTTAGTTCAGAACATCCTTGATTGTGATTGTTGCTTGCCCTGCCTGTATCAAACCCATTACAGAGCAAAGAAGGTATGTGCTATCTTAACTGGTGCTTCTTTAAATCCAAACTGTATCATAGCCTAAAGGAATCGGTATTTTAAGTTGCTTCAGTTTTATAACAGTGAATTTATAAAAGTTTGGTTGCTAGGTTTTTTTCGATCATTGTGTAAAATATTGTATGTCATTTTTAAAAGAGTTGGTTTACTTCCTTAAATTAAGGAACAAAATCTACACAAGTTCCATCACAGTATTTTTTTTTTTTTTGCAAGATTTCAGTATCTGCTGGAAAAATGGAGTTTCACTGTGGCAGAATTAGTAACGTCACCAGAACACAGGATTAGTCAGATAGTTAAAATACTTAATTATCAAAAGCTCTTCTTCCTTTTCAAATGCATTTCCAATTTGTTTCATGAGTTATCTCTCTCACCCAGGCGCATTGATGATGACAAGGGAAGGACCCATGAGCTGGAACACTCCGCTATAAAATGTATGAGAGGAATTCTCTACTGCTACATGCGTCAGGCTGATAAGGTAAAACACTGTGGTGTGAACTGGATTTCTCATACCATTCTGAAGGATTAATTTAACCAGTATTCTAGTAGTGTCTTCTAAAGGAGAATGTATCTTAAAAAGTAAAGCCACATTCTAGGGCAATCTAAATAGGTTAAAATATTTTCTGTCTTCCTAGCCCAGGGTTTTGGAATGCTGAAGTTGAAAGAATACCTTCAGTGAGAGATATTGAGATTATTATATAAACTTGAATTTCTGTTTTGCATATCTTATTTGCTTAATAAAAATTAAGTCTTGGGAGAACCTCATGAATGTCCCTTACTCAACCGGTGTTACATTACTTAAGGAAAATCCTTGTTGGAATAACTTGAACATGGTGAATTTCTCAGGCTAACATGAACTTAAAAATACTTCATTCATTTACATCAAATAAGCAAGGAATTGTACGCTTTTGGAAAACTGAATTTTACAAGTTTATCTCGAAATTTAAAAAATAATATATATGACTTATTTTTTTAAAGTGTAAAGCTTTATATGAGTATAATATTCTAGTTCTTCTACTTTACTACCTCTCTGTCTCCCTGAGTCTTAATATAGTAAATACCCAGATATGTAAATCAGTATCCTGAGTTCCCAAAACCGCTGCTCAATTTGACAGTTGACTCAAAAGACCTACATGACTCAATAGATGAAGTCATGTGTATAGTTTATTACAGCAAAAGGGCACAAAGGATAATAAAGTAAAAACTATTTGGAGTATTATCTGGAGGAAATGTGGTGCCAGGAGCCAACTAGAGCCACACAGATACACTTAATTTGCCGAGGAACTGTTAGCAACAACACACGTAAAATATTATCTACCAAGGAAGCTCTTAAGGCTCAGTAGTTTTATTGATCAGGATTTTTATTGGTGGCTGGTTGTGTTGGTACCGTCTGCCCAGCACTTACTGAAATTTCAGCCTCCCAGAAGGAAGCATGGTGCATAAACCACATTGTATAAACAGTGTAGGTGTAGTGAGTCACTCCTCTGACAGAACCCTCCCCAAATTCGAGTTTATTCACGCTAGCCAAGGGAAACTTTTCTAAAGTTGGCAGTCTCTGTCCTACAGTGTTAACTTTTCTGAATCATCAGCACCAACTAATGCACTGGTTTCTAATCTGTGACTAGCTGTGTAATGTTAGGTAAATTATTTAGCTTCTGTGTATATCAGGTCTTTTCATTTGTCAAATAAAGTAGTACTTGTAACTATCTCCATCCCACCATTACCACAACTGTGGTCTTGTAAGGATAATGAAATACTGTAATTTAAAATCAGATGCTGGTACTGGGTGAACATTCAGTAAGAATGTGTTGTTCTGCTATTAGTGCTTTCCCTCTCCTTTCTAGATTATGTACCTCAGATATGCTTTCAGCTTCTACTATTTAGGATAGATACGTACCAGTAACCATGTAGGCAGTGTGATCACTTCTGTGTAGTTATGAGTGTGTAGACTATTAAAATGATTGTGCTATAAAGAATCTGGATTATATGGAGTACATATTGCAAAATGCTGGGTTTGTTCTGATGAACAAAATATGCTTTACAGGTTTTACAGTTTTTCTGTCACTGTGATCTTTTTTGCTTCCCATAACCATTTAGAGACTGTTACTGTCACCCACAAGTGAGTGTGGCCGGCTTCTTCAGATCAAACCCACACCAGCTCAGTAACCCCCATCACCCCTCTTGCTGGTCTGTCCTTTTCTTTTCCTTCAGCCTTGGCCATTTTCTTTATGATCTGTAGCTGTCCAAAATATAAACATAGTTTTAAAATATTAAATATTTATATTTTGGCCTTTTTGAAAAACTCAAGTGAAAGACTTTTATACTATTCATTTGCTGTTTGACTTTGAGCTTTCATATTCTTTATTTTAGAAACTAAATCATAACCTAGAATGTCTAAACCTTTTGTTTTTGATTTTTCATCACTAAACATGTTTCCTTACGTTTTGTCTTAAAGCACTAGCTGAAAGAGATGTATGAAATTTATTAAGAAGTGAGTGGGATAGGCATGGTGGCCTGTGCATTCCAAGGAGTGATGGAAGAGGATTTCAAGTTTGAGGATTTCAAGTTTGGGGATTTCAAGTTTGGGCTATATAGCTAGTTCAGGGCCAATGTGGACTACATGGTAGGTCTATCTCAAAAGCACAAAAAAAGGAGGAAAGAAAATGAAGAAGTAGAATTGCTCTTGATTTATAGACTGTGGGGCAATCTATTTCTGTATTTTATTATCTTGGCTGTCTTGACATTGACACTTGTGTCATTGCTTGTATATTAATGTCAGGTTTATTTTTCCCCTAATGTTCATATTCATATTCTTTTGTGTTATACTCCTTAAGGAGAAGCATTCAGTGTTTCAGTTAATTCAATCTATAGTTAGTATTTTGGTGGGCAGAGATTTGCTTAGCAATAGGCTATGAATCTTCACAAGGCCCTGTGATCTACTTCAAAAAAGTGTTTAAAATGCTGCTGAGAGATTATTTAAGTTTTAGTGAGAGATCATTTAAGTTTTATAAACTTTATTCTTCCAAAATTCCCTTGTGACATGATCATTTTCCTTTCAGTGTGCATTTTAAGGGTATAAATTAAGAATGGTTGACCAAATGCTTACCTTTTCCTAAATAATAAATTGTTTATTTGTAATGCTAAAAGTTTTTAGGAAACATCTAAGCAAAGTACAAGTTGATTGATTTTAGTGCAGAAGATTTTGCTTTAATCATTGTTATCTTTACTTCTGAGACACTAGATATTATATAAAATACAATTAATAACTTCTTGTATCTTGACTGCTTTCAAGAATACTTTCTGTTTGTGACTGACATACAACATGCCCCATTAATCTTCAAAGCATATAGTTTATAGTTTTTTCTCTGAAATTTTAAATTACTTGTCATTTAACAACTTTAAAACTCAAAGCATAGTTATATAATTCCCCATTTGGCCGTCTTTACTCATTTAGCGTCTGCTTTCCTCCTGACATAATGATAGAATATAAACTCTTGCTGGTTCTTGCATGTCTTGAAGATAAATGACAAGCACCACCTTGTTAGCTGCAGCCCTGACTTTACTAAACTGATAAAGCCTCATTTAAATCCCCATCAAGTAGGAGAATGTATTTGGTCTCATTTTAGCCATATTTTTGCGTAGAAGCCCAGAAAAATGTTCAGAATTTTGAGAAAATAAGCATGGTGGCAGGTAAGGAGTGACCATTTTCTGTTGGTGTATTTTTTTTTTCAGGCTATTGCTAATGGTTTTGGGCACCATTGTATATCAGACATTATATATCCCTAAACAACCCTCATCTTCTCACTACCGATAGGTCCTGACTTGGTTGGTCTGGTGCTTTAGTCATATGGAAGTTCTTACTTGTTTGTGCATACCCTTTGAGTAAGGTAAAAATGTGTCGGCCCTCTAACAGTTCTGTCCAGTAGAACTTCTTGTGATGATAGAAATGTTCTTTATTATTCTGTTAAGCAGTATAGTAGCCATTAGTCACGTGTGGCTGTTGAATACTTGAAACATGACTGGTATAAAGGAAGAACTGAATTTTAAATTTTAATTAAGTCATATTTAGCTGTTGACTGTCATTTTGAACAGTGTAGGCTTCTAAAGTCATGCAGTATATTGTGAGAGTATAAAAGAGAACAGTTTCTGTATTCCCAACACTTCTGATAGTAAATGTGTAGATATTCCATGGCCAAAATATCTGCATTAGGGAATAGCAATTGGGTGTTCTACAATTTAATTAAATTTTACTATTACTACCTGGAGTTAGTGTAGGTCTTGTAGGTCAAAGGTTCAGTGCCACAAGACAAGACTACCTCCTCCCCCAGGAACCCATTGTAAATCACGTGGGAAATTTCCCCAGGTTACCCATGCAGCTGTACATCTTGGGTACAAATTAAGGGGTCTCGTGATCTTTCTCACATTCATTAATTTGTTATAACACCTCACAGAACTCAGGCATGTTACTAATACTAGTTAAATATAATGTATAACGTAAAGGATAAAGATGAAGAACTAGATGTAGTACATAGCTTAGAGTCCAGAGGGGTCTCCTGTGCAGGAGCTTCTCTCCATGTGGATTCCAAAGTATGCTGCCCTGCTCACTTGGAAGCTCGCCAAACCCCATAACTGGGGAGTTCCTGGAAGTTCTATTATGTAGCTATGACTGATCATTGGTGAATAACTCAGTCTCTAGTCCATCTCTCCCCTTCTCTGAAATGAAAGGGATAAATTGAAGTGATACAAGGCAGGATTACAGTTACCTAGGTTTTATTATCATTTAAATCTGTTGAAAGAAGATCATTACTTTTACAAATAGCTATATATCTTTCTGAATTTTTTGTTCTAATTTATCGTGCATGTCCAATGATTAACACAATACTTGTCACATGGTTGGCATCAGTAAGTGTTTTCCAAGTTGAATTGAACAGGCCCATAGAAATAAATGGATAGATATTTTTATCCTTGGGCTTTATCTGTTTGGTAATAGTATTTATACTTAGTATTTTAAAATAATTAGGACAGATGCAATAACGCATGACAGTGGTCCCAGTTTTTAGGAAGATTGTGGTGAAAGAATTCTTGAGTTCAAGACCAGCCTGGGCAACATAATGAGTCCCCATCTCAGCAATAAATAAATAAATAAAGCCTAATAAAATTCTAATAAAAGTGTAGCCAAGGCCCTTCATAATGAGAGCAAGTGTGGAAAAGGAAATGAAAACGTGTTAACAGGACATATGTTAAAATTTGTGATCCTCAGGGAAAAAAAATTGCATTTAAAGTTTGAACATGTATTACATTAAAATGTGGCCATCCTGAAGTACATGTTATGATGAGTGTTATGTAAGCATTTTCAAGTAATAGTATAATGAAGTATAATCACCAAAATCTTGGCTGGCAAAGTAAATCAGCGTTATACTATAAAATAAAATGTAAAATATTCCAAAATTGCCGAGTTGTTATGGTTGTGAACTATCAACTGGCAATCATGTTAATTCTTTTAAGTTAGTTGTTTGCAGCTTATATTGCTTTTTTTCCCAAAGGTGATATTTCTGCTTTGTTCATTTCTCTGTCTCATCCATCTGATTGTTACTTAAAGGTTGCATAAAAAATTATTTATACTCTTTAACCAGTGAATTATTAGTGTTATCTAAATCTTATATTTGATTTCCAGGTCCAGCAGTTTAAGCAGGATCCACGCCCAACAACATGTCTTCACTCTGTTTTCAACGTGCATACTGGAGATGAGTTGCTGTCTTATGAGGAATACGGTCATCTTCAGGTAAAAATTACACATTTTTCAAATCTGTGTGCTATGTCATAGAATATTTGAGACTATGCATTTTTTTAACGTATATTCCATACATTAAAATGGAAGTATAAAATAAAGTATACTTATCCTGAAATGGATAAGAAATTAAAATATTAACCATTAAATCTGACTGAGTTCTTGGACAACAGTATGTATTATATTATTATTCCTGCCTAGAAGAAGAATGTTACCATTCTTTTGATAACAAAAATATTTGCTACCAGATTTAGAAGAATTTCAACACTTAGGAATTAGGAAATAAAAGATAATTAATAGAGGTAAAAGCATATCTGAAGTTGCTGTTACATAGCACATCATTTTAAAATATATTAAGCTCCAGTAAAGCTAAAGTCATGTCATTTAAACACCAAGAGGCATTTCTGAAGTCCTTAAGCTTTGTTTCATGTTAAATTTTATATCTATAATAATATACTGTAGGATTTTATGTTTTCTGCCCTCACAACTGTGTATTGCTTTTAAATGAATATCCAGTGCCTTTTTTTCCAAGCTACAGATATATATATATATTTGTCGTTAATGGATTTTGATCAATCTGTATATGATTGCATTCTGCTGCCTTTGGGATAGATTACTTATTATTCATATATTCCTTACTAAAATTAGAGTTTTACCTTATTATTCCTCTTTCTCTAGAAAGGTGAAATATCTTACTTTAGTATATTTCCTCCAAACCTAGAAAGTACAGTGACCCCATTTCTTTGCAGCAGAAAATCTTGTACCTTATTATAAATAGCTCCTTAGAGAATTAGTGTTATATGAGTAGTTTCTCAACCTTAACCTAGTAACTGTAACGTAGAATTTTTTGTTTCTCTTGCACTGACAAATAAGTTTACTATCTTAAATGGGGTTTTCAGAAGGTATAGCACATTGATTTTTTTAAATGATGATGCTGTTATATGTATTGATCCCAAAAATGTTGATTCTTCAACATTAGTACTTCATTATTTAATTTAACGTGTAAATTAAAGAATATTAATTTGACCATTATTTTAAAAATAAGCATTAAAAAGTTTAGAAGGACTTGCATGAAAAGATAATTTCTAGGAAGTGGAATTAAACATTATTGTTTTCTTCCTTTTTGTCCTGATTTTCTAATTTTTTTTTTCTTTTGGTACTGGAGATTGAACTTGCAACATCGTGCTTGCCAGGCAGGCACTTATGCCACTGAGCTAAATCCCCAGCTCATTTTTTAACTCTTTGATAAATGTATATTAAAGGTATAGTTTGAACATTTTAGAGTTGTATTTTAATTGATAGTAATTCTACATATTGGGGTACAGTGTGACATTTTGATACATATACAGAGTATAAATCAGATCAATATCATTGGCATATCTGTCACCTTGTTTGTCACCTACAGTTGTCAACTGTCATTATCCTAGTATGCTCATCTACTACTGTGCTTTAGAACATTTGAAGCTATTCTTTCTATCCAATTGCACCTTGGTCTGTATTAACTATCCTCTGTCCACATTCCTCTTCCCCATATTCCAACACACATTTACAGGCTCTAGTAACCGCTATTTTATTCTCTGCTTCTTTGTGGTCAACTTTTTAGTTTCCATGTGTCTTGGTTACTTTTCTCTGGTTGCTGGGATAAAATACCCAGCACCCAAAATGAAGGAAGGAAAGGTTTATTTAGCTTATAGTTTCTGGAGGTTTCAGTCCATAATCAGCTGGCTCTGAGGCAGGTTGGCGTGGCACAGGGGCAACACTTTAAGCCAGCAGCCAGAGCAAAAGAGGAAAGAGCAAGCCTCTTTTCCTCCCTTCTTTGTACACAGGGCCACCTCCACCCGCTTCCAGGACAGGTATAACACTCACAAAACCTGTATGCCCTCCTCTTGCACAAGATGAGGGTATTTATAAAGTAAAGATCCTGGCTCCCTTCTGAGTCTCTTGTTAAACTTCAAAATTTCTCAAGTTGACACAGTGTATCAACCATAACACCACCTATGAGTAGGACATGCATTTGTCTTGTCTATTCCTGACTTATTTCGCTTAACATAGACTTCTCCGGTTCGATCCACGTTAATGTAAATTATAGAATTTCAGTTTTTCATGACTGAATAATATTGTATATATTTTCTTTATCATTTATCCATTGAAGGACTCTTTAGGTTGATTCCACATGTTGGCTGTTGGGAACAGTGCTGTAATAAACATTAGTGCAGAGGCTGGGGATTTAGCGCAGTGGCATAAGCACCTGCCTTGCAAGCAGGCAGTCGTGAGTTCGATCCCTGGTACCGACAAAAACGAAAAAGGCAAAAAAAAAAACATTAGTGCAGATGTCTCTCTGACATATTGATTTCAATTCCTTTGGTATATACCCAGTCACATAATTGTTAAGAGTTTTATGTTCTAATTCTAGTCTTTTGAAAAGTTTCTATACTTTTTCCCCATAATGCCATATTAGCTTACATTCACCAGTAGTGAGATTGTGTCTGTTCATATCCCTCTCGATGTGCGCTTTTTCTTTACCTGATGATTGGTGATGTTGACCATTTTCTCAGATGCTTTTTGGCAATTTGTGTATCTTCTTCTTCTTTTTTTTTTTTTTTTTCTTTTCTTTTTGAGATAGGGTCTCTCTATGCAGTTCAGGCTGACCCTGAGCTCACTTTGTAACAAAGCCCAGGCTGGTCTCAAATTCTCAACGATCCTCCCACCTCAGCCTCCTGAGTGCTGGGGTTACAGGCATGAGCCACCACGTCCGGCTTCTGTATCTTCTTTTGACTAACGATCATTCACCCATTTTTAAATTGAATTATTTGTTTTGTGCTATTGAGTAGTTTGATTTCTTTATATTTTTAGAAATAAAATGCATACTTTGCAAGTATTTTCTCCTATTCTGTAGGTTTTCTCTTTCACGTTTTGTTATTTTTTTGGCAGTACAGAAGCGTTTTAGTTCTGTATAACCTCATTTGTCAATTTTTGAGGCCTATGCTTTTACAATAATACCCAAAAATTCTTTGCTTCAACCAGTATCCTGACAGTAATTTTTAATAACTTTAACTCTTTTAATCTCTTAAGTATTTGATCTACTTTGATCTGATTTAGTATATGATGAGAAAGTATGGGCCTAATTTCTTTCTTTACATGTAAATATCCACTTTTGTGGCACCATTTTTTGAAGAAACTTGCTTTTCTTTTTCTTTTAAATTTATTTTTATGGGGGCTAGGGATTTAGCTCAGCGGCATAAGCGCCTGCCTTGCAAGCAGGCAGTCGTCAGTTCGATCCCCAGTACCGATAAAAAGGAAAAAGACCAAAAAAAAAAAAATTATTTTTATGAATACATGTTTGTAATACATAGTGATTACATTTATTGTGGGGTGTTGCTACATAACACATTTTAATTTGCTGTTCCTCCCCTCTTGCTTCATTTCCTGGTCACTATCTTAGTTACAAAACAGAATATCCCTGTTTCCTATTATCTGTATTTATATTTATTTAGCTCTTTAATTTATTTAGACTTGGCATTTCCTGAGTAAGAAACAGTATAATACTTAAGTTTGTGTGTCCTGTTTCACTAACATTATCTTAAAGTACACAGTTTTTTTTCCTTTTGAGGCTTTTATCTTTATTTATTTTTTAAATCAGATTTTAGTGGTACACAAATACATACTGATCACGTTCCTTATAGAGAATTTGTACCTATATATTATATAGCTTGTCTTTTTTCTCATTCTGCTACCCTACCTTGAAGCCCTCCTCCTCTCCCCATTTACAAACACTTTATTTTTATATTTTACTTCCTTTCTTAATTTTCTTTTTCTACTTTGCCCATTTTTCCTTTTCCCCTTCCCTTTTTTTTTTGTTTCCCTATCCATTTGAATATTTTCTTACTGTATCACAATACTTATTAAATGTTTTGATCCTTACTTACACTTTAAGTTTCTCATACCAGAGAAATGATACAGTATTTACTTGTGTGTCCAATTTATTTCATTTAAGAATATGGTCTCAAGGCACATCCATTTTCCTAGAAATGTCTTGAGCATATCATTCCTTATGTCAGAATACTACTCCATTATATAAACTTGCATTTTCTTTGTCCAGTCACCAGTTGGTGGGCTCTTAGTTTGTTTCCAAGATTTGACTATTACAAAGTTTGCTGCTATAAAAATAGATGTGCATATATTGCTGTGTTACGATGTTTTTAATTCTTTTGAGAAGATAACCAGGAGGGGAATTACTGAGTTAAATGGAATGTCTAGTACTAGTTTTTTGAGGAATCTCCACACTCTTGTTCACGAACAGTGAAGGAGAATTCCTTTTTTCACCACAGCCCAATCAGCTTTTGTTTCTGGTTGATTTCTTGATGATAGCCATTCTTTCTGAAGTGAGATAAAATCTTAGTGTGGTTTCAGTTTGCATCTCTTGAATGGCAAGTGATGTTGAACATTTTTCATATATTTATTTGGTTTTTGTAGTCATTTGAAAAGTATATTCATCTCACATACCTATTTTTGGATTGGATCTTTAAATTTGAGGACTCTAATTTTTTAAGTTATTTACATGTCCTGCATAGTAATTCTTTGAAGAACAGCTGACACACATTCTTTTCCATACTGTAGGTTGTCTCTTCTCTCTTGGTAGTGTCTTTTGCTGTACAAAAGGTTTGTAATAAGGTGAGATTCCATTTGTTGATTCTTTGTAATAGTTCCTGTGCTATCCGACTTTTATTCATGAAGTCTTCCCTATTCCAGTGTCTTTGAGAGTTTTACCTAATCTGTCTTCCAACAGATTTAATGTTTTTATTTTAATGTTTAGATTTTTAATCCATTTCAAATTTAGTTTAGTGCATGATGAAAGATGTAAGATCAGTTTTAACCTATGGCATGGGTAGAGCAAGTTTTTCCAGCACCATTTATTAAAGAGGCTTTCTGTCTTCCAGTGAGTATGTTTGGCACCTTTATCAAAGACAAGGTGGCTAAGTATGTCTGGAGATCTT